TAGTGTTCTGCATACGGTCTTTGATAATTTTCTGATTCCGTATCAGGTCAAGTTCCCTAGTAAAAATCCGATGATTCTTCTCACATCACTTTTTGGTGTTTCTTTTTGCTGGAATGTTTCTTTGTATCACGCGATCAAACCAAAGTAATGACAAAGCCAAAAGCCATGCGTGGGGTCCAGATCAAACACGAGAAACATTGCAACCATTTTTTCCTGTTGAATTGCATTATAATCTCGATTGTTTCACTATCTGAAGGCCATTTCCAATCGTAATCAAACAATGAAAGTCACCCAGAATGTATTCAATCGTCAACCATGTGGTGAGTCTCGCTTCGCACAGTGAACTGACTGGGCGGCGTTGGCCCGGTGGTAACGCTTCAATAATCATCTCAGAGGACGTGTGTTCAAATCCCACCACAACCGCCTGTCTTTCCTCATTCCGTGTATCACATGGCAGCCCTTTGTTTGATTAGCCACTTCCCCCTACCTGAACATTGTATCTTTGCCTACTCAATAAAAGGCGGTAAGATGAAAAAAACTGAAGAATGACCGAATCATCACTTGCCAAAAACACAGGCAGTGTGTGTATGTATGCTTGCGGGAGTACGGTTTCAACTTCTAAATCCCAAATCGTTGCATCTTTCCCCGATGATGCAGACCCAAGATATTCGTTTAAACAATGCTGCTGTGTTCTTGATAATGAGAAATCATCCGGAACGTGTTGTCTTAATAAAAAGGCGGATATAGGGGTTTTTCTTTCCATAATAATTTGTTAATTTGTACAGTAATAAATACGCTATTTGTTTAACTTTTAGATTGTTTTTGCGGTTCTGAACACGTATCTGTTACCTGTGGCAGTATGGATGCCAAGAAACTGCAATTGAATCCGGAAATTATGGAGAAGATAAAAATATCCAGTGCAGAATTCGATTCCACCTTGATCGCATCCCCACTGAAAAAGCTTGAAATAACGGAGGAGTCGAATATTCTCTCGCCTGATCAGTGCGCAAGCACTGCAAGAAAGGACGGGGATGATAAAGGAGCGATCATATTAGATGAATCAGCCTCGGTGGATCATCCATCTTCGCCCACTTTGGTTGAGGCTGGAGACACCATGGAGGATCTACCCGAATCGGATTGTGCTCAACCACCCAGACCAGCACCGGTCTCTCTGGGTGCATGTTTCTCATGCGGCAAAGTTTGTGACCGTCGTTTGAGCTGCGCTCAACACCGGTGCACCGAGCCTTGTCATTTGGGCGAATGCAAACCGTGCTCTTTAGACCCACTCCGTTGCCTGACTTGTCCGTGCGGGCGTGTGGCTCTGAGCAAATTGGTGAGCGGGGCTGGACTGTTTTCGTTGATTTCGCACGTACACACGATCAGACTGTACTGTATCGGATTGTGAATGACGTCGTATTTGAAATGTGAACATGACCTCAACGGGAGCAAATGATCGACCCCCATAGATTACGTTGGTTAGGGCATTTGTTACTCATATCACCAGATAAGTTGACACGGCGAGCGATGTTTGCCGAGGTAGTTGGCGGTTTGAAAATGGTCAAGGGTGGTCAAATGAAGATCTTGAATGAGGGTATGAAAACCATAACCAGGAGACTTGGTCATATAGGTCCGGTTAGGCTCCCTGGCTTGGGACTCCGAGATGATGGTCACCGAGACACTGAGTGATATGGCTGGGTGTCGCACACAGTGGCGCTCGTGCATCCACTCACTATTCTCCTAACACCACTCTATGTGAATTCTCCATCTTCCTCTTGAATTCGCTCTCAACATTCCCATCTTCATCTTGCTCTTTTATCCAAATGGGCGGCCAAAAGACAGTAACCAAAACCGGTGCACGAAAGTGCATGTTTAACGATTGTAAAAACTTAACTGAACATGACCTCAGCATCTGTCTGTATAATATATTTTTATTCCTGTGAAAAGGGAAATCCCTATAGAAGAAAAGTATACTCAGAGTGTATAAGGGAACATTCACGTCAGACCCAGTTTATTGATTCTGCGTTTGTAAGTTTCAGGGAAGAGGCAGAAGGTGGGAGGGTGTTCCACAGCTTGGCAGTTCGGGGATGAGAATAAGATTGAAGCAGAGGAATACGACGTATGAGAACCGAAATCGGATAAGGATGACCATATTCACTCGATTTACCAAGTCTGCACTCAAACCAACAACAATTTTCTACTTTGCAATTACTGATGACATTTTTGCCAACAAGTGTTTGTTGTGAAGTACAAAATGAATCAATCGATCAGTAAACTTAATAGGGATGTGTCTCAAATTAGTTTCCAAATACACCAGACTGAAGCTCCATAATGATGTTTGCCCCTCGTGTTTAATTCTTTTGCCAGATTGGTGTGTTCCGGTTGTTTTCATTTACCCCTCCCCCCTTTCCTGATGCTCTGACGTTCCTGCAGCATGATCATTGGGCACGATTCATATTCTCACTGGCTTATTAGCGTGCATTCTATTGTACTTTTGTTTACAAAGTTGATGAAATCCCAACATGTCATTCGCAATCTACGGTGAGATGTCATTTCGCTCGGTTTCAATCAAATTGGTTTAAAAAAATAGGAACGGAATTCAGTTAATCATTTTGGTGCTTGCGGTCAGTTCTATTTTGCGGTTGCGAAGCCCTTGATTTGCGCGTGGAAGATTTGCATCGTCTAGAAGTCTTCAACTGCCGATGTTTATGTAGTTTGGCGCCGTTTGAATGGAATGAGAGTGTAAGCAATTCTGTGGCAGCGCGTCACGTATTAGGCAATGACTCGGTGAACATTCCTTATGAGATAGAAGTCGGATTAATAGATTTCGCTGGTTAGGGCACGTATAACGCACGCCCAGTCGCCGTCTTCCGCACTGCGTCTTATTCGCAGTTGCGACTGCAGCTTGGAGGAAACCACGTAGAGGTCAACAGATGACGTGAAAACGAGGCCTGAATAAAGGCACAGAACGATTAGGTAGAGTAAGTGTCTCCCGGGTTGGAGTCCGAAAGACTCCGGAACTGGTTGATTGCAGACATTGAAGGATATGGCAACGAATCGACAGCAGTGGCGTTCTCGTTGCCGTTTATTATCAAGTCAAAATGCTAGAAAAGGTATGTATGCATAGTTAGGTTTTGCACTTTGTGTTGATCATAGAGGTTAACTTTCTTTGCGTCCTTCCAGTTGGGCCCAAATCCTATCCATCTTGCGCGTTCTCACTCACTTTCTGTACATTGAGGGCTTGACAGCGACCAGCGAAGTTCGATTCACTGTATCTTGCTGCTGATTTTAGTGCTTGTTAGATGATTCTATGTTGTATCCCAGTCAATCGGTTTGGTAGATAGCTCAACACCTCACAGTGCTGTCTTCCGTTCAGTTTGAAGTTGAAGAACTGAATAAAGACGTTTGTATATAGGACCCGGTTTCTGTTCTCAGTGTCGCGGACAAGTCATTTGCCCCATAACTACGGAATGCACCATACACAGATGTGACTAGTTGACTGCGCTACAGTTACGTGCACTTTTTCTGCAATTATTCAGTTCAGTGCAGTTTATACAACCATTAAATTCGTATTTTAGTGCCATGATTCTATTTGCCATCATTTGGCTGTCCGATTGGATGCAGCAGTAAAGAGAGAGAAGAATAAGAATACTGGAAGTAGTGTCAAGGTGAATACAGTTCACGTAAGCCGGGGTTGTGAAGAGATTGAGTAGATGCACGAGCGTCACTGTTTACGACAATTAACCGTATCACTCATAGTGAAATTTGCTTTTCTAAAAAGAGTCAGTATTTGAGTAGTAGGGAATAGTATTTGTGAGTCCATGAAAGGAATAACTGTTTTTCAAAATTTGACCGAGGTTGAGCCTATGGTTGATGACCAGTCCTCAACCAGTCTAAAGCTATTGTCGCTCTCAAGCATGCACCGTTCACGTGAGGCAGTTCATCGGTGCAGTGAGACCGTACCGATCAGATGACTTCCACCGTGAATCTCAAGATACTATCAGTCATGTTTCATCGGTACATCGGTAAGATGTCTGACCTACACCTATTCGGTTGGAACCTGATTACTTTCCCATAACGATCCCGAGAGTTTCATGGATTTCTGAACCAAGGCTAAACCGCCATTCTGAAGGCCATTGGGGACGTCTCATCCAGGTCGAAATATTTATATATTTTTTCAAGATAACTATTTCCTTGCCTAATCTCCATTTCAAAGAGAGAGAGAGGACTAATAACAACTAACAGTAGTTCTCCATTTGAAGCAAGAATTGGCCAATCTATTATTGGCGTGGGGGTACATGAGCTATCTTAAAACGTTCTGATCGTCACTCAAGACATCATTGCTGGATGTGAATCCATGTCGTTGGAATTCTTCAATACACCCTCTGCAACTACTATCCCCGGGATCGTATTCCTAGTTAGTAAAAAGGATTAGGGCTGTTTCCAACATCCACAGCCTTCTTCATCCATGCACGTTTTGTTACCCACCCACCCCTTTCGCGTTCATTTCATAGACTGTTGATAAGCTGGCGTCAAAGGGATTTACGGTTAGAGTGGTAGGTACTAACCGGAGGAATGGCATTGCAAACGTCCAGTGAAGCAGCAGCGATCCAGGAAATTCATCGTTTCTGCTTTGACCATGTGCCAGAGCATTGGTTTTACTTCCACTGTCCAGTGAGGCCTTCGACAGGTGGTTGGAATGAGCGGCTTCGATAGGTCGAGTTGCAGCTGTAACTTACATTGTTCTGTTGCTATCCATTTCCGGTGAGTTTTTCGGGGTCATTTATCGGGGATGAACAGCACGTGGTCCTTGTTCACGAGTGTCGACTATGAGAACGGGAGTCTTGAATAAATAATCACCAGTTGTATTTGAGAAGAGTAGGGGGCTTCTCATATCAAGCATCATCTCTTTTTTAGCAGTTATTGCTTGGGCAATTGGCTCCACCGCGAGCGTCAGGTGGCGAATCGCCTTACAAACGACGAGTGAAGCGAAGAACGTGGTTAGATCCGAAGGAAACAATGTTTTAATCGGAGTATGCCTGGTTCGGAGACAGTATACGTGCAAGTAGAAAGTTTCAAAGGTTTCAACGGAATCTGCATGCTTAACCCATGTGCGTGTGCGGACATTGAAGGAAAGATATTTTCCAATCCAGTAACTTCTGTTTAACTCATCTTACTAGTTAAACTCTGAGCGGTATACCAGGATTGGCAGCGATTCACGTTAATTCATCATAGGTGATCAAATTTCCAAGGATGGCCGAGCAATGGTTATCTGTTGTTCCCTTGTTAACAATTGTGTTCCGCAACACAGCACTTAAAATCTCTGCGACAAAAGCCATAATTGCCTGTTTCCCTTTTGCTCTATCCGGAAATTTTTTTTACCGTTCTTCAGGTATCCTCGGGAGACGTTTCCGGTGACCGAACCAGTTGTTCAGATCCAGTGCCCACATGTCCGAATGTTTGTGACCGTCCGCAACCGATATGTGGTCATCCTTGTCCGGAAAAATGTCACTTGGGCCCTTGTCCGCCATGCACTCGATCGCTCACAATCAAATGTCGCTGTGGTCGTCCGTGCAAAGGGTTGTCTTGCG